TATATGGATATATAAATATATATATATATATATATATATATATATATATACGTGTATATATATATGGATATATAAATATATACATATATATATATATATATATATATATATATATATATATATATGTATGGATATATAAATATATACATATATATATATATATATATATATATATGTATATATATGTATGGATATATAAATATATACATATACATATATATATATATATATATATATATGTATTATACATATATATGGATATATATAAATATATATATATATATATATATATATATATATATACATATATATATATATGGATATATAATATATACATATATATATATATATATATATATATATATGTATATATATATATATATATATAAATATATATATATATATATATATATATATATATATATATATATATATATATATATATAAATATATATAATATATATATATATATATATATATATATATATATATATATATATATATATATATATATACATATACATATATATATATATATATATATATGTATATATATATATATGGATATATAAATATATACATATATATATATATATATATATATATATATATATATATATATATATATATATATATATATATATATATATATATATATATATATATATATATATATATATATATATATATATATATATATATATATATGTATATATATATGTATGGATATATATATATATATATATATATATATATATATATATATACATATATATATATATATATATATATATATATATATATATATATATATGTATGTATATATATATATATATATATACATATATGTATATATATATATATATATATATATATATATATATATATATATATACATATATACATATTTCTGTGTATTTGTATACGATTGCTTGCTCGTATACCTAACTATATTTACCCATTCATTTATATATGTTATTAAAATTCAATACTCAGAGTTTCATGTAATAACAGTCATCAGGTGGATATAATATCTGGAGATTACATCTGCCTGGTGAAATTCTGACTATTGGATTATGATATTATTGTATTAATAATATTATCATAATATACAGCACATTCCCCACAAAAATTTACATCATTTGAATGTTAATATCTGAGTAACTACATGTCCCATACAAACGAAATTAAATAGGCTTCATGTTGAATAATAAAAGATTTATTCATCAAAATTTAAACAAGGGATTCAAAGGGCTGTAGATTTTATAACTGATTTCACAAAGCTTCACAAATGTCCAATATGCAAACCATCTGTGACAAGACACACATCAAGTAAATAGTCCAGCTCCTGCCAAACAGGCTGTGGCATGTCTTGCATAACATTCTCCAGCAACTCAGTGATTTTCTGCTTAAGTTCCTCTAGGCTTTTAGGAAGAGGGGGATATGAATTTGACCTTTCACATAGACCAATAAAAAAACATAAGGTGTCAAGTCATGTGAATGTGGTCGCCATTTCAACAGCACATTTTTATTATCAATGGCATGCCCAATCAATCATCCTGGAAGATTTTCATTGAGTTAAGTCTTCATGGTCAGCTTCCAGTGAGGTGGAGCCCCATCCTGTTGAAAAATGAAGTGTTCATACTCATTAGCAATAAGCTCATCAAATAACCAGCATTTGCAGATAAACGCTGCTAGTCACGTCTCCCTCAAAGAAAATGGTCCATAAAGACAAAAAAATTAAATATTCAAATTAGTTAATTTTTACACATTTTGCTATAATTTGAAATCATTTGAGCAAGAATTGGCTATATTATTAGCTTACATAATGATGTCAATTTTTTGCTATACCCTAATATTTAAGTACTGTGGACTTTGGTATTAAGTACTCAGTTTATTTTATATTTTAATTTTTAGCTTTTATTCATACTATTTATGTTTGTGTGTGTGTGTGTGTGTGTGTATTTTCAGCCCCTATATATTGAAAGCAAGTTATCTGGTTAGTAATTCTGTAGGATGAAAAATAAGACCAAACAAAGAGGAGAAGAAATTTTGATGAGTCAACAGTCAGTTAACAAGAGTTGGTATCTCATTAAAATCACAGTGGAGAAGGCAATAGGAAAACACTACACTAACAATCTCAAGATCAATCATAGCAATCCCCAGTTTTTATAATAATTAATAAAGTAGTTAGGGAACACAAAAACATGTTTACTATCACAATACTACTTCCACAGATTTGTATCATCCTCATTTCTTCTATATTCCAAATATTAGGCCAAAGTTCCACTCAGACAGCTTTTGTTGAACTGACTCCTGCATTGTTGTTTCCCTACAAAATTCTGCAAGACAAGGGTCAATCATGCTATCTACTTATCCTCATAATCTCCATTGCCTACCACTTTTTCTTCCATTCATATCACTCACTTGCCCCAATGCATCAATGACACCCTTTTAAAGCACTTGCCTTGATACCTCATCTTTCCTGAAATCGAAGTAAATTAAGCAGCTTTCTTTTGATAGATGGACTAGCAACAAGAAATGAAAAAGTTTGATTCTTATTTTAATAATATAGGTAATGATAATATTAGCTGTTTCCTTATAAGGAAACATTCAGCATTCATTTACCAAGCAACCTATACTGTTTTTGGTTGAAATTCATTTCTCTTAAAACATTTTTTTTTTTTAAGTCCAGTAGCTGTTATTGCTCTTTCCAGTATTGATGGGGTTTCCTTCCTAACCTTTTATTTGAAGTGGTGTGGAATATTATCATCTTAATATATTTCTTCTTATTTTCATAATTATTATCTTTAATCCTGGGAAACAATTGTAAATATGATTTTTGCTATTATCTTTTAAAAAATGTATTAAAGCAATTTGTTTTAGCAGGAGACAGATGAACACATTTTCAGACAAAATCTTTAAATAAAAATAAAAAAAAAGATTTAAATAATTCAATTTTTACTGATTGTTTCTAGTTTCATTAACTTGGAAAATAAATAGTTACATTATATTTATAAATTATGTAAAACGCATTTGTGAGTTCACACATTTTACAACTCATTCTCAAGTCCAGAAAATATCAAGCCATTTTGTATATAATGATAACTGTTTGCATGGTCTTAGTCATCTACCAATCAAAAGAGACCATAATGTGTAGGCATGAACAGGCACTTCCCTGAAATGTTTTTTAGTTAGCAGTGCAACACCACTGAATGAACTTCCCACAGAATCTATCTTTGAATAAAAAAAAGTTTTATCCTTCCCTGCCCTCCATTAGAATGTCTGACACTCAACTGCTCGAGAGCACCTCTCTGCGGCTGCTTGGTCTCATGTTGACGGCTGACCTGAGATGAAACAAATACATTGAGTCAATTGCTTTGTCCACTGCAAGGAAAGTTGGCTCCCTGTGCTGCGCCAGGAAATTTTTCTCCCCGGAATTGATCATCCAGATCTACAAATCAACAATTTGCCCTTGCATGGAGTATTGCTGCCATATATGGTCTGGAGCCCCTTCTGTTTGCCTCGGGGTTCTTGATAGGCTCCAGAGGTGGATATGCAATATAATTGGCCCTGATCTGGCATCTCGTCTACAGACACTTTCTCACAGACGCGCTGTCGCCTCTCTCTGTCTGTTTTACAAATACTTTCATGGCAATTGCTCTGAGGAGCTGCATTCCCTGGTTTTTAGACTTCATGAGTTCAAGCGCCCAACAAGGCTGGCATCCCACTCTCACCCCTTCACTATCAAAACTCCTAAATGTAGCCGTCTCTTCTACACTAATAGCTTCATGTCTCGCACCTCTCGCCTGTGGAACTCCCTTCCCTATTCTAGTTTCCCTGAGAGCTATAATCTCCAGCTATTCAAATGTAATGTCAATCAACATCTCCAGTTGCCTTGATCTATCCACTATCCTTCTCCTCATCCTTTCCTCTATCACTCCTATCTGATCTTGCTCCAAATTTTCTGTAACCCCTTGCGTCCTAGTGGCTTCCCGCCTTGCTTGGGGTGAAACGCTTGAAAAAAAAAAAAAAATGTAGTTAATTGAAAGAAAACTTTGCAAACTTTTGAAAAGTATAAATGAAGTAATGCCAAGTGGAGTTAGGATGACAGGGCATTTCTTAATGGTGAATATCATGTTGCCAAAAACTGGTTTCATTGAAACTATTAAATCTTCATTTTGTCAAATGGTTCATTTCACAGAAAAATACAAACATAGAACATTAAAGGGAGATAACTGTTATACATGGTACTTTTAAATTATGCATCATTTAAAAATTATGCTTGTTAATTTGATTCTTGCTTGTTTATGATAATGAATGATTGATAACAAGTCAGTTGGTTTATTTAAGAGGATTATTGAATGTTGAAATCAGTAAAAGCCAGGAAGTTGATTGTCTTTTGGGCAACAAAAATAAAATATATAACAGGAGTAGATAGGTTGGCCTATCATCTGGTCTTTTAAACAGGAATAGTGGTTTATCATTTGTTTCCTGTTCAGGATTGGACTTCTGGTTCCTTCTAAATTTTTTCTTATTCTCTTCTCACTCCCAGTAGCCTCTTGTCTCATTATCCCCTTGCTTGGGGTGAACTGATAAAATTTTTTTTTCAAAAATCTATCAAAATATAAATATTAAAATAAAAAATAAACAATAAATTAATACAGAAGAATTTTTCAGATGTTTGATTTATTTATGCAAATATTTTGGATAGGACAACTATTGAAATACTTTTTTTGTTTTTCATCATATTTTTTAATCATTTTTAAATATTCCTAGAATAAAACCAATGAATAAAGTCTACAGTAATGACTTGGAGATAACAATAGTTTATTGATACAAGTCCTACTAATTAACCCATAGCTGGAGGGAGAAGAGGTGGATTCACACTTTCCCTAAGGGTATTTGTACATAATATAATGAACCCAACAGGAATTAGAACTTGGCTCTCCGATTAACAATTTCAAGCCATTATCCATTTCATCACCCACACATCCAAGCTTGCAGTACCTGGTATTCCCAAGCAGTCACCCATGTAGGTACTAATCAGGCTCGACATTGTTTAACTTCAGGGATTGTATGAAAACCAGTGTGTCAATGTGATGTGGCTTTAATGTACACCCATGTATCCATGGATTGTTTTAGCAAAAGCAATGAGAAAAACTTAGGGATTTTAAATAAATTAATGAGATGCAATGAAGCAGAAGGATTAAAGTTGATGATGAATAAACAATGGCAGATAAGGTTTATACCTCAGCCAAGAAAAAATGGCGATGAATCGAAAAGTAAATGAAGGATTAAAGAAAAAAAAAAAAAAAGTTAATCTTAATGCAATTCTGGTTTCTCAGAGGTTTCTAATTTTGATTAAAAATGTTTGGATTTCATGTAATTCCTTGCTTACTCTGTATTAAAAGACAGTAACACAAATCAAACAAGATTTAAAAAAAAAAGTTTTCCATTTACATTCATGACTGAATGGCACTAAAGTAAGAAATGAGGTCAAAATAATAGACTAGACAAGGAGAAACACAGACGAATAAGAAGTTTGAATGAATCTGCTGATAGGGTGCTATGGATAAACTATTGTCTAAACTATGCAAAAATAAAAATAACATGGACATTTCATTTTAATAGATATATTTACCAAAATTACACAAAAATATCTTGAAATACTAGAGTAAATTCATTCAATAAAATTTCCAGTGGCTTCAATCAGACAACTTCAAGATCTCCTGCAACTCTTCTGGATGGTCTCCTTGTTTAAATTGGTGAATGCTGCCATAATCCTTTCCTGCAGTTCAATTTTGGTGCTAAAAGGAGTTTTGTTGGTTTCTTGCTCAACAAAAAGTCTCAGAACACAGTGAGGCAAAAGCTTGATATGACATGTATGAGTCAGGATGCATATGTCTTATCATTTGACATTTCAAAACACAATTGAACATCTGAGGAAGGCCATCAGGAATATAGCCAAAATGACATGAATAAAAAAAAAACAAGTATGATGATATTCGTCCAAACAAACCCACAGACAATAATTGAGTGACAGTAAGTTAATAACTTCTTTTTAAAAATCATCAGAAAAATATGACAAGTTGATATTCAAAATTCAAATTTGGTGAATTTACCAAGCCTAAAAGACAAAAAGTATCCAAAAACTGTGTTGTGTTAATCTTCTAAGTAGAGATGACAGGATGCTTACTTTCGAACTTGGCATTCAAATTCCTTCTGCCATGCTCTAACTATACAAAAGTCAGATCAAATCAAAAATGGTATATTGCAACCACATCTGGGATGGAGCTGCACAATTATCACTTTTCAGCCTTGAAAAAGTTCAAAGCATTTGTACAGGTTTGTGGGTGATGAATTGTTTTCCACCCTACAACTTCTGTCCCACAGATTGCTAGCCTCTTGCTATTTTATTGCTATTTTCATGGCTAATGTTGAGGTAAACTACATTCCTTGGTTCCACCAGTTCAGACCTCCACAACTGCCAGGGTACATACATTAAGTCTGCTAGTTTCCTTTGTATTCCATTGGTAAGGAGGAAGTACCGCCCAGACAGATTCTTCCCAGAACTAGTGCATTGTGGAAGAGACGCCTAAAAGGTTGCCTCTTTGATCACTACAATTTTAACCTCTTCGAGCCAAGAGTCAATTGTTAACAATCCTATATCTCCTTACAATATGCATCTCTTCTTCCCTCCTCATATGTTCTTACAACAATCTCATTTAGTAACATTCTATTTTGAGTGGCTATTGGGCCTTGTATTGGGTGAATAAAAAAATATATACAAAATTTTGTTTAGAAAGGGAAGTAGGAAAACTGTTACCCCAAGTGGCTGTTTTAAAAATCAGCTTTTGATATTCTGTCAGTCAGTGCTATGCATGATACATGCATAGGCAATCATGTATCTTTTGATACATGACTGACAAGGCAGATTTTTTTCCCGCAGAAGGTTGCCATTTCTTTCTGTGGTAGACCAGTTATCATCCAATGCTATAGAACCAAGTCCGTCCTGCCATTTACCTATAGCTGAGGGGAGAAGAAGAGGATTCATACCTTTCCCAAGAGTATTAGCACAGAAGTGAATGTAATGGATTTGAATGGAATTTGAACTTAGCTCTCTGATTCCTCAATCTGAGCTGCTATCCATTACTCCACCATGCCTCCATATTCTGTACTTGAACAAATATTGGTGTTATTGAGAAATATTAGTATTACTGGGAAAATAATGCCAAATATTAGTGTTTTTGGAGAATAAGACTAAATACTAGTTTCTTGGGGATATATTGGTATTTTGGGAAAATAAGGCAAAAAATTGGTGCTATTAGGAAATAACCAACTGCCACAAATATAAAGCAGGTCCATATATTTCCATTCATTAATGTGTAGGCTGTGTAACAGATATCAATCAGCATGAAAAGAGGAATTGGTAAGCTAAATCTGTTCACTTTCATACTAATGTTCTTGGAGAAAGGCATGAATCCATCTCTTTTCCCAACCCTAGCTATAAGTAAAACAGCAAGATAGATTGAGCTATAGATAGGCCAGTATAAAAATGATTACATCTAGCATTGTCAACTGTAAAATGATGAGACCTAGCTGCCAATCTAGTACTGTGCTTAAATTCATAACGTTTTGTTAGGAAAGAGAATAATGAATAATTCCCATGATAATATTTATAGAAAAGGCATAGGGAAGCTACATTATGAAATAATATCCAACGAAGATGATATTCATTTTACGCTGCACAGAACAAAGACAAATCCTATAAATTTAATGGAAAAAATTTTACTTTCTCCAACTTAATTTGGCACATGCCCTGTGATTCAATTTAATTAATTTAATGAGATGTAAAGAAACAATAAACATCTTTCTTTACTTTAATTCTTTTCACTCTTTTTTCTAATTAGTCCACCATTTGCGATAATTTTGTTTTTCTCATTTTGAAAATTATGAGATTGCTCAGTAACTTTCTTCCAAAAACACCTCCCCCAAATGTGTGTGAATACTTGCTTAATAGAATAGATTAAAAATAAAAAAAGGCAATAAAATCAAAAGATCCTAATAACAAGCAGGCTTGTGTTGATCAGATTAAATTGAGAAACTGATTGGTATTTGAACTCTTGTCTTTATGAGGGATTTTGCCATTATGCTTTTCGCTCTTTTAAAAAACAAAGATTAATCAGTTTGCTATCATTTTCATAAAGGTTGAATTATTAAAATTCTAACAAAAAGTAAAAATCTAAAGATCTTAATAACAGGTGGGCCTGTGTAGATTGGATTAAATTGAGAAGCTGATAGGTATTTGAACTCTCGTCTTCATTAGGGTTTTTTTTGACATTATTCTTTTCTCTCTATCAAAAATTTAAGAGTTATCAGTTTGTCGTTAATTCATAAAGACTGAATCACTGAAATTTTAAAAAGCAATAAAATCTAGTCACTGTTTACTTTTTAGCTTTCTTATTTATGTATCATATCCCTTCAGAATATACGTGATCATGGCTCTCCACACATCCTGTCTCTGGTAGTTTGAAATGATATTTGACTCTTACCATCGGTCTCTGTCTACCATTCACACAAATTCGTTATGTAGGTCACTTGGTGTTTTGTTATACTTTTACTTTCTTCCGTACGAGTTAAACTGTGAGTTAAAATTTACAAGCCCTCCTGCTCCATGATGTCTCCCAGAAACTTGACCTGTCTTATTCTGATTTTAAGTGTATGAATATAGAAAGGGGTGTAAGACAAGAATTTATCTTTCCATTGGACTTATTCAGCTGATACACTGAGGCAAATGGCATGGTTTGGACACCATTACAAGGCATGACAGCCTGTGCAAGACCATCATACAAGATTTTCTTTTTTCTGATAACCCCTCTTTTAACAATGGATCATTCATATTTTGAAAACTCAATAAATGTTCAATCATAAACATGATTTTTGTTAATTAGATAAAGGTTTATCATTTCATCCCAAGCAAGGCGATAATGTCACTAAGACATAAAAGCTTAACTAGAAATCAAAGTGAAGTCTTTAGTGAGGAGAATGGACAATAAAAAAAAACAGGATTCAGGAAAACAGAAAGATGGCAATTGATGTTGCATTTAAATTTTTCAAGATTGTAGGTGGCAGGAAACAAGAAATCAAAATTGTCTTCCACAGATAAGATTTTTGTTAATCATATAAAGATCTATCATTTCACCCCAAGCAAGGCGATAATGCAACTAAGACACAAGGGGTTACTAGAAGTGGAATAGAAGTCTTTAGTGAGGGATGATAAATAACAGGATTCAGTGACTATGATTTTTGTTATATATTCATTTGTTTTAAGGTTTTCATATTTCACATTGTTGCCAGATCATTTTAGAACAGGTGATAAAATGAAGTAACCTGGTTCTGTATTAACTGCAGGCAATTCATAAATCATGGCACTTTCAATGTATATTCATCTGAATAAATTTTTATTCATTTTTTTAAAAATGGAATTTTCCAGTCAAAATTGAGCATTTGGTGGCATACATGTGCATTGATTGTGTTGTTTAATTTCAGTTTCCTTTTATGAACATAAATCATAAAAAGCAGTTTCATCAGCAAGACATTCAAAATAAGTTTTCCAAAGTGTTTGATATATTAACCATTTCATTAGATTCTTATCCAAGTTTAAATTACATTGTCAAAAATATATTTTTTTTAAATATTGTTTGTTTGTCTTTTAAGGCAACCAAAGAACCAGCACTAAATGCTTTGAAGTTGTCTTCAAAGTTTAGATAATTTAGTAAATTTATTCAATAAAATTGCCATTGGCTTCAAACATGGCATCTAGACAACTTCAGACAAATTCCTGCAATTTTCTGGACAGTTTCCTTGTTTATGTTGGTAAATTCTGACATATTCCTTGCTTTCAGTTCATCTTTGGTGTTATAAGGAGTTTTGTTGGTCTCTCGCTCAACTGTGCCCCACACATAATAATCAAAGAGTTTTCAGTTTGGGCAGCTCGGTAGACAGATGTAAGGAGTGATGTGGTTGCAGAAATTGTCTTACAGGCATGACTGGGTTCTTCTGTTTGTGTGGCATGGTGCAGAGTCCTGTTGCTAGT